TCATAATTTAAAACAAAATATTATAATATAATATAATATAAATTATAATATAATATAAATTATAATATAATATAATATAAATTATAATATAATATAATATAATATAATATACGTATTTGTAATTAAATATTAATTATTGATACTAATTAACGTTCAAAATATATTTGTTCAACTATTTGCATGTGATCGCCAATAGCCAATTTATATTTTGGCTGTGGTGAGTATTATTATTATTTCATACATATATTTATTATAATATATTACATTATATTATATTATATTATGAAATTAATTATTTGTATATGATTATAGTATGTATTATTATATTGTTTTATTCTTTTGTTCAGTGGTTTTTCACCCGTCATTGTACATCGTCAGCGCGAGCAATACCGATTACGTAACATTCGGTACCCGCGCACCTGCAGTTCACTTCCCCGCCCAAAACTACCTTAAATATTGGTTTGCAGAGAGCAGAAAAATATCAAAATTATCCCAGCATCTAACTCTACCCGATGGTATGTATTAAACAGACAAAATCTGTGGCCCAAGTTCAATGCAAAATGTCTTCAGCCTCAGAGGTGCCCGGCGTATCGGTTACAGGACGATCGGTCGAAAGGTTGATTTTATACGATTTTCTAAAGGGCGTTTAGCTGTTGCCGGGTGAATACAGCGGTAGACCACCGATGCACAATGAGAACGCCGTCTCCGTGATATTTGTAGTAGGCTAAAGCCTTGGTTTCCTACAAACACGCATCCGTGATTGCGTGGTGCGCGATGCGCGATGCGTGATCGCGCAAAAGTTGAAACCACGAAAAACTATGTAAGTGTTTATTAATAATTCACGCGCGAGATTGTCGATTCACGCACGTCAATCGCGCATCAGTTCCTACTCGAGCAACATTTGCGTGTCACGCAGCGGTGGACGATATACAAAATATTATTATAATATATTATAATACATAACTATTATCATATTAATATTATATATTTATATATATTGCAATATAATATATAATATTAAGCAAGACACACATCAGTCAATCAGTATCTGTATAGGTAAGTATGAATGCCATACTTAAATAAGTAATAATAAGTATGTTTTATTTTAAAAACTTAGTTATTTATTGTAAATTTTTGTTTGACAAATTCAAAAAATATTGAAAATCATATATTAGTTTTCGAATAACAATGGAGTCGAAATCGTTTAATACGACAGATGACGAAAAATTAATAGAATGTGTCCGAAATTATCCAGTGCTCTACAAATTGACTGACAAAAATTACAAAGACAATTCCATCAAAGAAAACGCATGGAAAGAAATTTCGCAAGTCATAGGAAAAAATGGTATGTATTATAATTAAATATATATTATTATGATAGCCAATAGGCAGTTTATTTTACACATTCGACAAAAAAAAGCACCGGATGTCCGGATAATAATATAATTTATGTTATAGATTTATAGAAAAGATTATACACAATGTCGTCACATTTAAAAACATAATTTTTAATGATTATTATACTTGAAATTATTTTAAAATCATAAGGTTAAATATTTTAAAACTATAATTGAACCGAAGAATTTGGTTTTGGTAGTATTCGTTCGTTCGTTTGTCGTTCGGATTCTAATGTAAACAATCAAATTATAATTATAGAAATCTCTTGCACAGACACAACGTGTACAAAGTATACGTATACGTACCAATCATATATAAATATCTATAAATATCTATTAATATTAAATATACATAGCCATTAGCCATATAGGTATACCTATATAAATAATACAAGGAAACATATAATTTGATTTTAACTTAAACAATATTAGTTGAATATAATACAAGTATAAATACTTATTCTAAAATTATCAAATAAAAGAAAATTATGAATTATAGAAATTACATTAAATTTAGTTTGGACTAATTTATTGTAACTTTTGAAAATAGCCCATGTACTATACAATATTATTATTTTAATTAGTTCTTGTTATATGTTTTTGCTGCCAGTTCACTGATCCTATCCTGGTGTTGAAATATTCTTTGAAAGTTTCCCTGATTCGAAAAGCTTCATGAGTTGCATTTCCTCCTGTTGCACTAAATTGGATCATGTTAGTTTGTTTGTCTGTTATGGGGTCTTTTTCTGTCAAATCTGCAGGGCACACCATTCGTTCATCTCGTAATAAATTATAGATTATACATGAGGCCATTACTAGGTTATCGACTGTCTCGGGAAGAATATTAATCGGCGTAAAAAATACTCGAAAATATTGACACATAATACCAAACGTATTTTCTGTTGTTCTTCGAGCTCGACTTAGACGATAATTAAAAATGGCTTTTGTTGGATCTGATGTCGATTGATTTCGAGGGTAGGGTCTCATCATTGTCTCCGTTAATTTAAATGCTTCATCACCTAAGAATACATGAGGTAAGACTATATCAGTATTTGGCAAACATTTTGGTTCTGGAAATTTAAATTCTCCGGTGGAAATCGATTTTCCCAAATTGGATTTGGGGAAAATTCCTGCATCGCCTTCTTTTCCATATGACCCTATGTCAACCACTAGGAACTTGTTATGCGCATCAACTAAAGCCAATAGAACAACAGAAAAAAATGATTTATAATTAAAGTACAGTGATCCAGAGTTGTCAGGGCAAACGATCCGTATGTGTTTCCCGTCGACAGCGCCGCAGCAATTTGGAAAATTCCACATTTCATAAAAATCTTCAGACACTTTTATTAAGCTGTTTTCAGTAGGTTCAGGTAATGCTATGTTTTTTAACCTGTTACAAATAGCTACAAGAACTTCCCTTATAATAGTACTTATCCAGCTGTGAGATATTCTGAATTGAAACGCAAGGGATCTATAACTCTCCCCGGTTGCTAAAAATCTGTAAAATGTAAATAAATTTCAATTATTTTTAGTAAACGATTGTAAAACACGATGGCGAACAATGAGGGATTCATATAAAAAAAATATGAAAAAACGTAAATTAGGCACCGGTTCAGCAGCACCGACAAAATCAAAATACAATGATAATGCATTAAGTTTCTTAGATAACATCGAAGACGAAAGAAGGTAAAAACGAATTATTATTATTAAAATACTTTGTATAAATTAGTAAATTACCTCTATGTATACACTATACAGGGTGTAATAGATAGAACTGACTTTTAGAATAACTTTTGTTCTAATTAATATTTTTTTAATTTTTCGTTTGTTTATTATTAAGAGACCCTTGCGCTACACGTTTATTATAATTTTTTAAGCATTATAAGAATAACTTGAGAAACTCAGTATTAAATTTTCAAGTATTTTGACTCGGCCAAAAAAATTTTATCGACGATTCAAAAAATAAATTATCAGAAATATCGAAAATACAGTTGTCTATTATTATTTTTTTTTTTAAACAGTTCTATCTGATACATCCTGTATATAATATGGTAACCTGTTCACATTTATTGTGAACATGGTAACAATTTTAATTATTATTAAATATTTTATATTTTGTATAAATAATAATTTATTGAGATGATTTAATGTTAATAATTTAAATATTGCCTACTTAAGTGGTCATATTATTTATAATGAAATTTTCAAGCAAAAAGTAAAAACAGTAAAATTTGTCGTAAACGAGATGTTTATGAAATCAGTTTAAGTTAACTTTCATAATTCCGAAAATGATTTTATTATTATAACACCATTATCTTACCACTTTTTATATTTTACTGCTTAATATTAAAACTTCTAATGATTTACGTAATTATTTTTAGAACTAAGTCAAATATAGCCTGCAATGACCATTTAAATAATTCAGAGGTTATTGAAAATGAATTATTTAATCAAAATTCGCAATCAGAGTTAGAGAAAATATCTTTTTCCAATTCTGATTTAATTTCGTTAGAAAAAGATACACCGATAGTTCATCAACCACTGGAAAAGGATATACGTGAAAGTATGACGGATACATTTCGAAAATCTTACGAAAAACAAAAAAAAATCGGAACGAAAGATAAGATGATAGAAGAAATCAGGAAAGGGCGAGAAGAGCGTTTGGCGGTGTTAAAGGAGATGAGACGAGGTGATCATGATCCAATTCAAACTTTTTTTAAAAGTATGGCTACGACGGTCGCAACATTTCCCCCGGAATTGGCCATAGAAGCAAAAACAAGAGTTTTCAATATCATTTCCGAAATGGAACTACGCGCATTAAATGCAAAGGCTTCATATACATCATCCATAGAACCAATTTTAGGAACATCGCATATGCCACCAAAAGTAGTTCCTACTGTATTCATCGAAGGCGATTCTTCAAGTTCTGCAAATACCATATCGGACATTTCTGAAAACAGTATTTCAAGCCCTACCGCAGCTGAAAACTCCAACTATGCTTATTTACACTATTATAATAATGATTATTAATGTTTTTCTTTTATAATTATTATACCAAGATGTTATAATTTTTTTTTTTTATTTTGCAAAGAAATTTAAAAAGGGTTATGTTTTTAATTTACATAAAAAAATATGAAAAATATAGTTTGTTTTAACATTAAAAATAATGTACAATGTTTGATTTATTAAAGAAATTATTTCATTGAATTTCAACATTTCATATAATATAATGGATATACATTTTAATAACTACAATGTATATACATCTTGTTTGTATGCTGTTATTAAAATTAAATTTCGGTGTTTAATTTGATGTATATTTCTATAAATTTTAAATTCTGAGCGGAGCGCTTACGATAATAATAACAAAATAAATTTATTATTAAATATCCTAGGTTGACAAACCGTCTTTGCTCAGAATCGTTTTTTGTAAACAACGAATATCATTGAATTCAAATTTAGTACCTACCATTATAATAATGACCTACTATACAGCAGAGCGACCCACTTAACCATTTTTATTTTTTATTTTAGTTCTTAAATATTTTTTTTAGAACTAATTTAATATATCCCTTACAACAATACCTTTTTTCATAACATAGTTATTACTAAATAAGTTATAAAGTTATAGTTAGATAAAAACTAACATAGGTATCTTCTATTTTTTTTAAATAACTGAATATACAATATACATCATATCAACATTTTAGTTACCTTAGAGTGAGACTTAGTTTTTCTTCCGGTGATATTGGCTTCTTAATTCTGTTACTTGGACGTCTTCTTATATCGTCTTTAATATAATTTAATATATAATTAAATAATTCAAACGATACCCTAAAATATGCACGAAATCTAGTCTCATTATCAATTAAGCGCCTTTCAACTAAAATATTGAAACATCCCTCTCGACTCCGTTCAGTAAATATTTCGTTGTCTTCTTCCCTCAAACAATTTGCAATCAATAACAGTTCTTCATCAGCTTCATCTTCTAAAATATTATACAGTGTCAACACGTCCATTTTGGTGCCTGACTAAACACAAACTAATAAAAATTTTCAAATTCCCAACCACGCACTCATAATCACGTGTGGTCTGGCAAAACACCTCTATCACGCATCACGCAAGTGTGACCCAGCAATCGCGCATCGCGCACCACGCAATCACGGATGCGTGTTTGTAGGAAACCAAGGCTTAACCAAAATCACAGGCATGGTATCTCGGGGTACTTTATACTATGTGTGTAAGTTTCAAAACGATCGGTCAAAGGCGATCTCATTGTGCATTGTTGGTACAGTGATACGCGTACAGTACATTTTATGCTAAATTACGTATAATCGTCTTTTAACCAAAATCACAGACATGGTCGCCCGATCTAAAATAATTTGTACACTTTCCATTCAGTTGAATAATATTAACGTTCCAAATACATTTAATCTCGAGGAACTATTGAGTTCCATTTAAAACGTGTTCTACAATTTCAACTCACTAAATCTATTGACGCTGGTCCCCCACAGGCACAACAATCATCTTCTGCTGTGGGATGATGTTCAGTGTACATTGACGGCTGCGATTCCACAACATCATTTTCGCGTCGACGTTTAGGGGTCATTATTTTTGACATAGGGTTTACGGGGTTATGATATACTTCGAAAATATAGTCAATATCAGCTAACGTCTGTTGTGAAGGCGTGAAAGGGTCACAGCTGGAACATACTTTCCAAGAGTATCTGTTAATGTTATATGATTGGAAATCATTCTCCGTAAAATTTGGCAATTTATTGTTTATCCTATGTGTTGAACTATTTAAAACCTACAAAAAATATCATATAATGTTCAATAATACCATTTTAATTCATCCATTAAGAACGTTAGCTACAAACTCACCCCGATCAATGGTTCAGGGTTTCGGATCCACGTCGCTACCTCTTGGTACACTGGGTTCCTCTGAAATAACGCCTGAAAAATGCATTTCACTGTGTCTGCTTGCCTATTTCTTTTCAATCTCAATGACGCCGAGTATACCAATATCTCTTCGCTTGTCACACAATGAGGTGAGATATTCAATATGTATGCTACGAACTCTCGGTAAACGATCGCCACCAGTTTTCGAAAATGCATGTTGAGTTTAAATCGTGTTAAAATCGTGTTAAAATATCGTGTTAAAATCGTGTTAAAATCGTGTTAAAATTGGTTTATTCAAATAGTGGAAAAAATATATAATGTATATATTAAGTAACTAAGAAAAATATAAAATTCTTATTTTGGCCAATTAGATATTAGCTAGGTATATATATTTTATTATTTGTAAAACGAATAGTATATTATACTTACATTGTTATCGCGTTTTTTTTTTAATTGACCTGGGCGCATACCGCCAGACAGGCCCGGATTAAGGGCCGTACATGTTTTCGCCCAAAATCAACCTTTTGGTTTTCGCCCAAATGACCTTTTTTACCCAAACATTAAAAAGAGTGATTTGGTTTTCGCCCAAAAAAATATAATTCATAGGAAACGAAAAAACATTTTAGTTACCACTATATATTTTTTTATTTGAATATGTGCCTATGCCCTTTAGTCTATACCTACATAATTTTTAAAAAACATAAGTTTATAAGTTTATAAGTTTATAAATTTAAAACATATAAAAAAAAATAGTATAATATTGAAAACCAAATTATTTGTCAAAGTTATGGCACATATAATAGGCAAGTGTAAAACATATAAGTCAATGTAAATAATATATATAAAAACATAGAAAATGAATTTAGATTTATATAAATTTAAAACATATTAAAAAAAATAGTATAATATTGAAAACCAAATTATTTGTCAAAGTTATGGCACATATAATAGGCAAGTGTAAAACATATAAGTCAATGTAAATAATATATATAAAAACATAGAAAATGAATTTAGATTTATATAAATTTAAAACATATTAAAAAAAATAGTATAATATTGAAAACCAAATTATTTGTCAAAGTTATGGCACATATAATAGGCAAGTGTAAAACATATAAGTCAATGTAAATAATATATATAAAAACATAGAAAATGAATTTAGATTTATATAAATTTAAAACATATTAAAAAAAATAGTATAATATTGAAAACCAAATTATTTGTCAAAGTTATGGCACATATAATAGGCAAGTGTAAAACATATAAGTCAATGTAAATAATATATATAAAAACATAGAAAATGAATTTAGATTTATATAAATTTAAAACATATTAAAAAAAATAGTATAATATTGAAAACCAAATTATTTGTCAAAGTTATGGCACATATAATAGGCAAGTGTAAAACATATAAGTCA